AGGGTGAATTTTATTAATAGGGGAGAAACCGACTTGAAAATTGAATTTCTGGAGAATCCGTGCAATTTTATAGCTAACAGAAGGATAAAATGGAAGCACGACAAGGTCATTGATATTATTTCTAACAGTGGAATGTCTTCTTTGATGGGAATCTGAAAATTTTTTGACGGCTTTATCAATAATCACGGGAGAAAATCCACGGTCAATCGCAACTGCTCTCAAATAATTAAGTTCATTGGTAAGCAAAGATTCAGAGGAACAAACTTTTAGCGCGCGGAAAACATAATAGTAAAAAGAAGCCATTTTTTGCTTAACAGGGTAGCATGACTTGGCACCCTGTTAAGCAAAAAATGTGGAACTCTCTTCCTATAAAAACAAAAGCTGAACTTGCAATGGCTTCTGCATTGGTAAGCTTTGATAACAATATAGGTAATATACTTAATAGCATTTTTTTGTGATAAGTTTCAACACAGCGAAAGACATGATAAAGCAAAATAGATGACTTGGTAAATAACAGTTATAGAAATGTGCATGTTTCTCGTGTCTCAATCCTTTCGCGCCTAACGGGACACATACGTCCCAAGCAAATTTCAAAAAATGCTTTTGGGATAGAAACGCTTCTCTGTCTAATGGGAGACTTTCCCACCAGTCCTGCCAATATTTTTGAAGGTATTGTCATTTACAGAATATAGATGGCACTACCATACATAATGCAATTCCCGCGTTTTTTAAGTGTTGTAGCAACTCATTCCATACTCTATGAAAGTTAATAGTTTAGTTTTAAGAAAATACCTCTTATTTTCGATTAAATTTTGATTGATTCATAAATCTAAGACCATATAGTTACTCACGAAGCGGATTACCTCTAATAAACTGGTAAGTGGCAAAGTTTTATTTCCAATTTTATTATCGGGACATATGTGTCCCTCTCGTCTAGGATAGTAGGAACACATTGTCCCTCTCATTTTGGATAGTAGGAACACATTGTCCCAACAGTCCTACGTGAGCATTTCTCTAGATATTATATTTTTCAGTTACTTTTGAAATAGTTGCTTATTATTTTTAATTTAGGCAAAAATTTATTCAATCTAAAATGACTCAATGCCGGGGACTTACTAATGAAGAAATCAAAAAATTTTAGAAGAGTCAGATGACAAAGATATTGATTTGGATGATGAAATAGATGATCCCGATTTTCAAGATCCAGCACATAATTTGCAGTACTCATCCGATTCAGACGAGTGTGAAATGGATATCGATCATGATACCATTCCCCAAAATACAAAGAATAGCGATGCTTTGAGTGATAATGATACAACATCACGTTCATCAGTTGATGAGATACCATCAACTAATGTTTCAGGCTGCAAAACAATCTTATGGTTTCATGCAGATTCTACTTTCCAACCTCGAATGACAATTCCAGCAGAGTCATCGCCTAGTTTGTTATTCAACTTAAATCATTCAGCTACTAAATTGGACGTATTTCTCAAGATATTTCCAAAAAGTCTTATGATTTGGATCTCTCAATACACAAACCAACGACTCAAAAAGTTAGGACAAACAATTCACCCTACAGACACCTCTGGAATTATGCTTGTCCTTGGATGCATGCTTGTCATGTCTTACAATAAGGATTCTCTTATTATTGGTCATCTAATCCTTCTTTGGGAAACGTAGCAATAAAAAATGCTATTTCAAGAGACAGATGTAAAACGTTGTTGTCGAAACTATATTTTGCTGAACCAGAAAAGCCAGAAAATGCAAGTAAAACATATTATACTGACAAGGTTGTTTTGTGCCTGAAACAAACCTTCAAACAGTGTCGAAGCAAAAGCTCATCAATCTATTGATGCATCAATTGTGAAATTCAAGGGAAATTCATCCCTCAAACAATATATGCCGATGAAACCTGTGAATAGAGGGGTAAAAATTTGGCAGCGATGTGATTCAAAAACAGGATATGTATATGACATGAACATTTATTCCGGAAAAGAAACGGGTGAAGTTCAAGGCACACTCAGGGAATGGGTAGTATCAAAGCTAATGGAGACAATCCGAGGTAAAGACATGATGCTTGCGTTTAACCAATCTTTTACAAGCGTGCACCTGATGGAAACCCTGAAATTTCCTGCTATTGGTACGTGCATCAAGACACGCAAAGATGTTCCTAATTTTGCAACAAAACTAAGCAAAAGGGTCGAGCCTGAGTTTCTCGTAACTAAAAATGGAACAGTGTGTGCGAAGTGGCTTGATTCAAGGAAGTAATGATGCTAAGTAATTGCCACGAAGCTAAATATGCAAAAGTAAATGACACCATGAAAGATGGAAGCAAAGAAGAATTTGAGTGCCCTGTGGCAATCGAATTCTACAACAAAATCATGGGAGGTGTAGACCTTGCAGATCAGATGGCAAATGTCTATGAATTAGATCGAAAATCTTGCAAGTGGTGGAAAAAAGTATTTTTCACCTATTGAAAAAAGTATTTTTCACCAGTGGTCAACTCATGGATTGCGTACTGCGAATTCAAACATCGAAAAACCCCACTTCTTGATTTCATTGTACCTCTTGCAGAAGTCTTGATGGCGTCTGGAAAGCTCAACACACAGTATCAATGCCATAGAGAAGCTGGAGGCCCATCCAAAACATCACAAAGCTTACTCAATATTTGTGACCTTCTGCCAGTAACAACAAAAACATGATGGCAGTGCCGTAAATGTGCACAACAAAAGAAGGAATTGCGCACTAAAATAATGTGCACAATGTGTAATGTCCCATCGTGCATTGATTGTTTCAAACCACACCATTCGTAATTAAATTTTTATGACTAGAAAATTATTGGTTTTCTTTTTACAAAATTATTCATTGAAGACTACTGGGATACATATGTCCCAGTGCTCAGGACTGATGGGACATATATGTCCTGGTCCTAAATCAGTGTTTAAAATTTTCCTAAAAATATAACATCTTAGTTTTAGCATTCTAGTGTACTCTACTCATAGTTTATGTTATTGAAATTGTTCTGTTGTAAAAAAAAAAAAAAAAAAAAAAAAAATCGTCGCGCAAGGGTTAAAAAAGCAGGATATTTTAGCAAATTTTGTAACGTTAAAAATCAACTAAAATGTTCCCAGTATAATAATGCTCATTTTGACATTATGTCTGAAACAAGAAAAAAAGAATGTTTAAGTGAAACTGTTTACTCACAAATCTTTGTGCAGTCTGTGCTTAAGTTCAAGAGAGGAAAATTCACGATTTACGAGATCCATCCAGCCAAACTAGTTACATGAACAAAAGAATTTGATATTGTTCACTGTTTCCCACTTATGAAACTGTAACACACATGCTGCTTTGGAAGGGCACGGAAAGGGAAACAAAGCCAAAGGAGCATAAAGTACTTTCTCTTGATGCCAGTGATTTAAAGAGGACATATGCATGCTGTTTTGAAGTTCTTTTGGAAAAAAAGATTTATCCTAAAAACTAATGGTTCTAGAATTTTAAAGGACTTAAATGAAATGAAATAATTTATAATTTTATTTTTTATAATAAATTTTAGTTAATAAGGGAAATATTAACAAAACTTTAACAGCCTTGAATTATTAAAAAACAAATATTAATTTTCTTCTATTAATTTAATTAATATAAAACTAAAACAAAAAAAAAAAAAAAAATTAAAAGCATAAGTACATAGGTAGTAACATATGCTAAAAAATTACTTTTGAAAGGAACAAGAATAAGGTGATTTGCAGAACATTCTCATTTACAAAAGCAATCATTTGTAAAAAGTTTAAGAAATGATTATGTAGCAAACTCAAAACCAGGTAATAAGAACTGTGAAACAGTACTTTTTATTTGCAAGAATTTGTTTTTATTATTTAATATCAAAATGATGCAATTTTTAACTAAGCATAAAAAAAATGAAGCTACAGCATTCTTACAAGAAAGGGATAGTTTGCTCTCAATCCAAATGTGCAAAAACAGGAATGAATACCACTACTGAAGCCACACGGAGATGCAGTAAGGAAAACAACTGTAGAAAATAAGGCCTTTGAATAAGTGGTTTGCTGCTTCAAAAATCACATTACAGACAATAGTAAACTGCTTTTGCAGCTTTATCACCATTTGAAAAACAAACTACAGAGCTCTTTTTAAAAATTTTATTATTAATTAAAATTATTAATTTAAAAAGTAAAAATTTTTATTGTTGAAAATATATGGATTCGGCATTAAAATTCTGTTATTTAAAAAATGCTTTTTCACATGGTACCAAACCTTGGCAACATTTTTTGTTTGCCACTTTGGTCACCACTAAAACTGACAGTTCCCAGAAAAAAATTATTTATTGGATGCATTTTAAGATTTTATTTTATTTGTTATTTTATTTATTTGTTTTATTTTATTTGTAATCAGTCTTTCTGTTGGTGACAGTGAAATTAATGGGTGCACATAAGAACTTAAAATATAATATTTCAAAAGACTGATCTGCCCACTTATCTTTTTTAAACTTGAAGAAAAAATTTATATTTTTCATGATTTTCATTAACTATTTTTCCTTTCTCTGATGCTCCAGCACAAAATCATGCTAGTGCATTCTCATTAGAATTGATGAATTTAACCCTTGACTTTGCCTTTTCTATATTTTTGGCTTTGGGTAAGCGGAGCAATTGCATCCTTGATTTAATTACCGTGAATGGCCTTAGGGCATAAAATTGAACTACTCGGTAAAAATTCTATGTAACTGTATGCCAGCATTGAAAGAAACAATCAATTTGATAAGAAATGGCTGCGACTTGTTTTGAAAATGAGGCATAAAAGGTTAACATCGAGGATACTCCATTTGGCATCAGTTGTATCATTATTGGCGACTTAATCGCCTGCGCCAGCAAACCGGAAAAGTAGACCTAAAACAATTCTTAAATATAATGAAAAACATTCTGACAAATATATTCCTAATTATTTTCAACTCCTAATTAAAATGATATTTATAAATCCAGAAAATTTACCTCTTTTGCATAAGCCATTTCAATGCTATCCATAGCACTCCTAGTTTTTAGGTTAATAGTTTCACTTAGATATGTCTGAAAAATAAAACAAGTTTAAAGCATAATATTTAGTTTAGGTAATAGAAATCAATAATGGAAATTTCTATTAAAAGATTACATTCATACATAAACATAACTTTACAGATTTTCTGCTTGGAAAAGTAAAAGACTAAAAAAAGATTCTTTTTGCTCTTATGAGCAATTTTTTTTTTTTTTTTTTGTAAATACATTTATATTGTTGTGAGCTCTGCGTCGTTGATATTTCTTTAAATTGTAAGTCTAGATAGGCAGGAAGAAATGCACTATTTATTATGAAAATAAGCACAATAAATAATGCACACAGCAAAATAAGTGGCTGGAAATAAGTCAAGGAAAATGTAAATATTAAGCAATTCCTGCTTCACATATTAAATATGGTAAAGTTAATCATATCATCTAACATGTAATTCAGCTAACTGCTAAATCTCACAGATGATTCATAATTGAACTTCCCTAGCTTTTTAATCTTCATTTAAATACCATGGCATGAGCTCTAGAAACTTCTAGAAGAAATGGTTGTAGGACTTTGATAATGTGTTTTCACAAATCTTTAAGTCACCAAGGCCTGTCAGATATGAAACTGCCTATGTAATGTATTCTAATTGAGCTATTTTTACAACGCCAATGTCATTGCTTTCAGAATTTGATGTAACAAATAAAAACTCAAATACCAGATATCAGTGACTACAAGTTAAATAAAACAAAATAAATCTACAAATTATCAACCTAAAATAATAAATACAGCCAATAATAATACACCAATACAATACACACCAATACAATACAGCCAATACTAAACACCAATACAATACAGCCAATATACAACAATAGTGGAAATTCTTTTGAACATTCTTGGTGACAGAGTGAATAATTTAATGGTTTTTATGTCTCAGTAAAAAACACATTCAGAAAGGATTCAGATATTTACAATGATATGCAGCAAAAGTCTAGATGCAAATATTGGATGACTGTATGAATTCAACTTTCTAAAAACGTTCTCTGCTGTTAAGTAATTTCATAGATTGCTAGTCTAATTCTGACCAATTTAATCTAAAGTACATAGTTTTATTGATCAGACTATATGCTCGACATAATCAGTAAAAATGCTCCACTAAGAGTAGGTAACAGGAATGCCATAACTAAATAGCTGATTTCACTCTATAATGCATGAGCAGGTTTCATGTTAATGTATCTTCCTTTTTTTCAAAAATATGTTGATTTTGATTTGCTGAGGATACAAGAAGATGCTACACCATTCTTCCTAAAAAAATGCAATTTACTATGCATTAAAATACGCAGAAATGGCCACGGAATGCAACTGTATATAAATGGAATGCAAAAAATTGCAAGCAAAAGAATAGCATATGTTCAGACAACTGATTTAATGGATCCAGAATATCATTAGTAACAGCAAAACGATTTATTTTCTGTTTCACTTCTGACATTAAGTGGTAGGTGGTGACATTAAGGCAAGCGCCGACAATAGTTACAAGGTCGTATGGTGCATGACGGCGCAGAGTCCAAAAAGGGCACCGGACAATGATTAGAACAAGCAGTTCATCTCGCTGCCTGTCTGAACAGGAAAAGTCTTGCCTTGTCTGAAACAGCCATCGCCATGTTCTGCAGGGACCGTATGGTACTGTCTTGTCCGTTCTGTAGGCTGTGGTGGAACTAAGAGGCGTATTTGGAAACTAAGTACCGTTTTGAAAGAAAAAATAGTAAAACAATTTTTTCAAATCCAATTTTATTTTTACATGAAAATACATGTCATAAACTATTTTTCAACATAGTTTCCACCAATGATCAAACATTTGTCATAGTGGGTGACCAGTTTTTGTATACCATCGTCAAAGAAACTTCCTGCCAGTTTTGATAACCACGACTCCACAGCATTTTCCGTGTCATTGTTAGATCCAAAGCACTTGCCACCAAGCTCGCGCTTCATGTGCAGGAACAAGTGATAGTCGGACCGCACCAAGTCCGGGCTGTAGGCGCCAAGCGGCGGGTGATCGAACTGCTCCCAATGAAACTGTCGAATTAACGATGAATGACACCAGCAGTATGGGGCCGAGCATTGTCATGGAGCAACACAATTCCTCTACTGAGCATTTCTCTTCATTTGTTTTGAATGGGACGCCTTAGTTTTGTTAAAGTCTCACGATATCGTGCCACATTAATGGTTTCACCTCTGGGAAGAAATTCAGTAAGCAAAATGCCTTTCCTATCCCAGAAGACAGTGCACATGATTTTTTGTCATGACATTGTCACTTTGAACTTTTGTTTTTTCGGAGAATGAGTGTGTATCCACTCCATCGATTGTTGTTTATTATTCTGGTGTGAGATGACACACCCAAGTTTCATCACCTGTCACAATTTGGTTTAAAAAGTTTTCTCCCTCATCACTGTACCGCGAAAAATGTCAGGGCACTACCAAGTCGCTTTGTTTTGTGAAAATCAGCGAGCATTTTTGGAACCCATCGGGAACACAGTTTGCGATAATTCAAGCGGTCAGACACAATTTCGAACAAAACAGTACGTGAAATTTATGGAAATGCCTCTGAATGAGCTGTCATTATGAAGCGTCTGTTCTCATGAATTGCTTCATCAACTTTCCTTACCAAATCATCGGTGACAACAGAAGGCCGACCACTCCGAGCCTCAGCGTGGACATTTGTTCAATCTGCATTAAACATTCTTACCCACTTTCTCACCATTCCATCACTTATCGCGTATTCACCGTAAACTTCTGTCACTTGACGATAAATTTCGGCCGGTTTAACATTCCTCGCGTTCAAAAATTTAATCACAGCACGAATCTCACAGTCAGCGGGAGAACTAATTGTCTTAAACATTTTGAATTTGCACAGCAAACTGAAAACACAACATAGAGCAACCAAAATGGCGACAATTGAAAGTCAGTGAACAAGAAAGACTAGTGCGCATGCACGGGACGCCTACCACAGCGCTAGAATGAAACGGTACTTAGTTTCCGAATACGCTACGTATATAATCATATATTCATGACTGTCCAGGCTGAACCCCCCCCCCGTCAGTAGAGCTGGCAAATTCAGCAAGCCTTTAAACTGCTTGAGGTTTCCAGTGGGTGCCTGGAGCCTCAAAACTGCATATTCATATCCTTCCTTGGTTTTCCCCAGAAGCCACCTAGAGCTGACATCTGTATACCATGACGTAGCGTTAGCAGGCCAGATTGGTGGCCTGGTCTGTCTGAGTGTTTAAGTGACTTCGTTCTGCTGTCCGGGGTTGGGGCTCCTGCTGATGGCAGATGTTTTTACCATCCCTCCAGAAAGGGGACATGGACTGTGAGTTGCTGAGCATTCCTGTTGACTCAGCTTAGTCTTAGCTTGTCGGCTCGACCAATAAGTTAGTGGCCTCTTGGATGGCCTCTAGGGGTTCAGGTGTTTAACTCTGTTAAGGCAACCTCGGGCTTGCCACGTCTGTGTGCTCCTTTTTCATAGCACACTGAAAGTTATAATCATGGCAGGGGTTCGTCTCTGGTGTTGTCTTCTGTTTTATTTCAATGTGAAAATATTTGATGAAGATGCGTATGTAAGGGTACACACATTCGACAAATTGTTTAATCCTTATTTTGTGTCTACTGTTACAATCGTAGTAATTTGTGCAACATTTATCTTTTTTTGTAATTGCTTGTTGTTATTGTTTATCTACATGAAAAAAGGTAAGTACAGTTACATATTATGTGTAAACTTAGGTTAACTTTTTATTTGGAAAAGCAATGAGTTGAGCATAATTACTCAAAAACTGTTTTCCTCTCATTGTTTGAACCATTTTCGTATTCGCGCAAGTTACTAATATCTAAACCATTTTCCTCTTAAGGTTTTAATAAGAATACTATCTGTTGTAATACCAAATACTGAAAACCTTTTTTTAATACTCATATCTGTCTTTTCTAAATTCAAATACCTCATACAAATTGATATCTGCTCTTGATGGCTGGCATCAGGGGTACAATCAAGTAAAATAGGAGAATGCTTTGCCTGTTTGACATTATTTAAAATAATTTGCTTTACATTATTTCCTCATAAGCTAGTTGTTTTATTTTGAATTTTATCTCCAATGTAATGAAGCATATTTTTAGTTTAAATTTTATTAATATATACAGACATGATAGGGCCAAATTTTGTGATCATTTCTATACACTTTAAAAAAATTATTATTTCTTTCGAATAATTTATTACTGAAACCACGAAAGGCTAAGTTTTGCTTGGCGAAAAACTGAATGGCATGGATAATTCTTTCAATAGCATCGCGCCAAAGCTTAGTCTCTTTTTCTAATAAAATTTGAAATTCTGAATTAACAGGTTTGTTCTTTTGTAATCATTCTAAGAAATTGGATTAACTCTTTCGCTGTTTGGCAAAACTCGACAAATGTACATCAAAAACAATTTATGTCCATTTTTGTCTCTTGGGAACAGAGGCAAATGTGCATCTACTGCAGAAATTGTAGAGTTCAATAGTATTTCTTCCGTTTTTTCGACCGGCTGCACTGAAGTTAAAGGTGATTCCCGGGTGAAAACACTTTTTAACTGTTTCTGATTATTAGTTTCTTTTGGTAATTTCAATGGTAGTGAGACGTTGATGGACAACTAGTGCTAGTAGGGTCAGCTTGGGTATTTTTTGGGTTTTCAAAAAACTGAGTAATTTTAAAGTTCGGGTTTATTGAGTCTTCCTCTCACCTTCTTTACATTCTGATACTCGGTTTTTTTTTCTCCCTTTTTCCTCCAACATCTGAGTAAAAATGAAAACAGAAAAAGTGGAAGTAAAAACAAAATTAGAAAATAACTCTTATAAGAACTATTGCATAAAACTAAACACTCAGAAAGTAACTGTTTAAAATATTTTACCTTACTTCTGAAAAAGTGAGTATATCTTAAACCAGGGCTTCTTAAACTGTTTTCATGCGTGACCGCTCTTTATCACTGAGAGTTTTTTTGTGACTCCAGGACGGCCATAATATT